TACCTTTACATGGGTATGGCTACCTTTACATGGGTATGGCTACCTTAACATGGGTATGACTACCGTTACATGGGTATGGCTACCTTTACATAGGTATGGTTACCTTTACATGGGTATGGCTACCTTTACATGGGCATGGTTACCTTTACATGGGTATGGCTACCTTTACATGGGTATGACTACCTTAACATGGGTATGGCTACCTTTACATGGGTATGACTACCTTAACATGGGTATGGCTACCTTTACATGGGTATGGCTACCTTTACATGGGTATGGCTACCTTAACATGGGTATGACTACCGTTACATGGGTATGGCTACCTTTACATGGGTATGGTTACCTTTACATGGGTATGACAACCTTTACATGGGCATGGTTACCTTTACATGGGTATGGCTACCTTTACATGGTTATGGTTACCTTTACATGGGTATGACTACTTTTACATGGGTATGTCTACCTTTACATGGGTATGACTACCTTTACATGGGCATGGTTACCTTTACATGGGTATGACTACCTTTACATGGGTATGTCTACCTTTACATTGGTATGGTTACCTTTACATGGGTATGGTTACCTTTACATGGGTATGACAACCTTTACATGGGTATGGTTACCTTTACATGGGTATGACTACCTTTACATGGGTATGGTTACCTTTACATGTGCTTGTCTACCTTTACATGGGTATGGTTACCTTAACATGGGTATGACTACCTTAACATGGGTATGACTACCTTTACATGGGTATGTCTACCTTTACATGGGTATGGTTACCTTTACATGGGTATAACTACCTTTACATGGGTATGACTACCTTAACACGGGTATGACTACCTTTACATGGGTATGTCTACCTTTACATGGGTATGACTACCTTTACATGGGTATGACAATCTTTACATGAGTATGGTATCTTTTTAATGGACAACATTCCTTGAAATGAGAAGGTGGTTTTTGAAAAATTTCAAAATCTTTCTTCATTTCTCTATATTTGAAGTTTTTCCGAATTCCTTCTTCAAGTTCTCAACTGAATTGAAATGGGATTAAAGTTAATATAAGCTGGAAAAGTCCTACGTCGATTCCATTTTACCTTCAAAGAAAGCGACTGTTCAGGGTCAGTGTCGTAGAAGAGAATAATGTTGTGTTTCATGCCCATGCTTTGCCGCACACCGATGTGGTAGAAGAGTGCAGACTGTTGTACAGGAATAGACATATCTACTACGACCACGTCCGCATTGTAAAAATTGTCAAGGATGTCTGTTTCCCCAAAGTCAAGCTTCTGAAACAGCAGGTGCTCCAGCGTCACATTGAGACTACAAATAAAACAGTTATAGATTGATAAACAATGGATTTAAGAATGTCCCCGCAACACACCTTTTAGAAAGGTTAAACAAAACCATTCTATTTGAAAATAATCTGCCTTTCGCCCCCGATCTGTATGATACATTCTTAATTTTATCGAGCCTGAAATGTTAATCAATTTGTTTTGTTTTCTGTACTAGACAAGAAGTAGAAATGCTTCTTTAACTTGAAAGATCAATGACGGATGTCTAAGACTTCTTACCGACCAAAAAAATAAAAATAATAACACTCTGTAATCAAGGGCAATGAAGGAAACATTTGTTGCTTCACTCCAGGAATTTTGCTCAAAATATGTTCATCCACACTTAAGAAGTAGACTTTTTAAGCCAACTTGGACTCCACCCTTTTGCTTGCAATGGATTCACAACCTGCATTTACAGTAAAAAAACAACATGCTAAATGAGATTCTATTTCCTCGTTATGGACCACACCCAAACCCTCCTTCTCATACCCTTTATTTAAATTTACACAACATTTACCTCCCTTGATTCAGGATTGCCCTAGGACAATTAAGGATAAATCCCTTCATTGTACTCAATGTATCATGTACAACACAATTCAATCATATTCAATAATGCGTTGTAGCGCATTTTGGAAAAATATGTTTTAACAAAACTATGTTGGATACCATTATAATGCTAAAAAGTTGCATTTCAATCATTGTATTTTCATTCAAAAGTCAAAACCAATTTTATTTCATTGTTCTTTGTGTTCAAATTCCCTTCAAAATATGTTTTAAACCATCTGTTTTATCAATTGTAAAAGTTGCAATTTTTTGTGGGAATGAAACTGTACCTTCTATGATTCTTACCAGTTCTCTCCAATGGCGGACATCAATCGAAAACTATTTTGGAATTTCCATCATATTTTGAATTGTATGTCACATTAGTAATCCGCAATAAAGACCTGGACAGTTTCCGATTGGAAAATATTCATATATATCTATTCTTACTTTTATTGGACTATAACAATATTTTTCGCTATGGGTTTATCTAAGGACTGTACACATGCAAAAGAAATATTTTTATAAGGGTATATAACACTTACCCATTCACAAATTTAGCATTATCTTTTAGAGACTTACCCATTCACAAATTTAGCATGATCTTTTAGAGACTTACCCATTCACAAATTTAGCATTACTTTTTAGAGACTTATACCCATTCACAAATTTAGCATTACCTTTTAAAGACTTACCCATTCACAAATTTAGCATTACCTTTTAGAGACTTACCCATTTACAAATTTAGCATTACCTTTTAGAGACTTACCCATTTACAAATTTAGCATTACCTTTTAGAGACTTACCCATTTACAAATTTAGCATTACCTTTTAGAGACTTACCCATTCACAAACTTAGCATTACCTTTTAGAGACTTTTACAGTAACGGCGAGAGCTTCTCTACGAGAGTCTTGTAGGATGGACAGCTGGTTTGTAGTGGACGTTACTTGGGATTTAGTGTCGTTGTTGACCCCGCCTTTAGAGACTTACCCATTCACAAATTTAGCACTATCTTTTAGAGACTTACCCATTCACAAACTTAGCATTACCTTTTAGAGACTTTTACAGTAACGGCGAGAGCTTCTCTACGAGAGTCTTGTAGGATGGACAGCTGGTTTGTAGAGGACGTTACTTGGGATTTAGTGTCGTTGTTGACCCCGCCTTTAGAGACTTACCCATTCACAAATTTAGCATTACTTTTTAGAGACTTATACCTATTCACAAATTTATCATTATCTTTTAGAGACTTACCCATTCACAAACTTAGCATTACCTTTTAGAGACTTTTACAGTAACGGCGAGAGCTTCTCTACGAGAGTCTTGTAGGATGGACAGCTGGTTTGTAGAGGACGTTACTTGGGATTTAGTGTCGTTGTTGACCCCGCCTTTAGAGACTTACCCATTCACAAATTTAGCACTATCTTTTAGAGACTTATACCCATTCACAAATTTAGCATTACCTTTTAGAGACTAACCCATTCACAAATTTAGCATTACCTTTTAGAGACTTTTACAGTTACGGCGAGAGCTTCTCTACGAGAGTCTTGTAGGATGGACAGCTGGTTTGTAGTGGACGTTACTTGGGATTTAGTGTCGTTGTTGACCCCGCCTTTAGAGACTTACCCATTCACAAATTTAGCACTATCTTTTAGAGACTTACCCATTCACAAATTTAGCATTACTTTTTAGAGACTTATACCCATTCACAAATTTAGCATTACCTTTTAAAGACTTACCCATTCACAAATTTAGCATTACCTTTCAGAGACTTACCCATTCACAAATTTAGCATTACCTTTTAAAGACTTACCCATTCACAAATTTAGCATTACCTTTCAGAGACTTACCCATTCACAAATTTACCATTATCTTTTAGACACTTACCCATTCACCAATTTAGCATTATCTTTTAGAGACTTACCCATTCACAAACTTAGCATTACCTTTTAGAGACTTTTACAGTAACGGCGAGAGCTTCTCTACGAGAGTCTTGTAGGATGGACAGCGGGTTTGTAGTGGACGTTACTTGGGATTTAGTGTCGTTGTTGACCCCGCCTTTAGAGACTTACCCATTCACAAATTTAGCATTACTTTTTAGAGACTTATACCCATTCACAAATTTAGCATTACCTTTTAAAGACTTACCCATTCACAAATTTAGCATTACCTTTTAGAGACTAACCCATTCACAAATTTAGCATTACCTTTTAGAGACCTACCCATTCACAAATTTAGCATTACCTTTTAGAGACCTACCCATTCACAAATTTAGCATTACCTTTTAGAGACCTACCCATTCACAAATTTAGCATTACCTTTTAGAGACTCACCCATTCACAAATTTAGCACTATCTTTTAGAGACTTACCCATTCACAAACTTAGCATTACCTTTTAGAGACTTTTACAGTAACGGCGAGAGCTTCTCTACGAGAGTCTTGTAGGATGGACAGCGGGTTTGTAGTGGACGTTACTTGGGATTTAGTGTCGTTGTTGACCCCGCCTTTAGAGACTTACCCATTCACAAATTTAGCATTACCTTTCAGAGACTTACCCATTCTCAAATTTAGCATTACCTTTCAGAGACTTACCCATTCACAAATTTAGCATTACTTTTTAGAGACTTATACCCATTCACAAATTTAGCATTACCTTTTAGAGTCTTACCCATTCACAAATTTAGCATTACCTTTCAGAGACTTACCCATTCTCAAATTTAGCATTACCTTTCAGAGACTTACCCATTCTCAAATTTAGCATTACCTTTCAGAGACTTACCCATTCTCAAATTTAGCATTACCTTTCAGAGACTTACCCATTCACAAATTTAGCATTACTTTTTAGAGACTTATACCCATTCACAAATTTAGCATTACCTTTTAGAGACCTACCCATTCACAAATTTAGCATTACCTTTTAGAGACTTATACCCATTCACAAATTTAGCATTACCTTTTAGAGACTTATACCCATTCACAAATTTAGCATTACCTTTTAGAGACCTACCCATTCACAAATTTAGCATTACCTTTTAGAGACTAACCCATTCACAAATTTAGCATTACCTTTTAGAGACTAACCCATTCACAAATTTAGCATTACCTTTTAGAGACTTTTACAGTAACGGCGAGAGCTTCTCTACGAGAGTCTTGTAGGATGGACAGCTGGTTTGTAGTGGACGTTACTTGGGATTTAGTGTCGTTGTTGACCCCGCCAACAGTCCGTCCCCAACTGTCCAGTATGCACACCACCTTCATCTCTGAGGATCAATTACCTACAAATACATTTCAAATATATACTGAATACTGGGAAACATTTGCCTTGTCAAATATTTCGCCCTTTACCGATATAACAATACCAGTGTTATTTTCGCCCTCCACATATTATTCCTAAGTATGGTATGGTGTGTGCATGTTTTCACCGTTGTGATAAACTCATAATCATCACGGAGGCGAAAAAGGCGAAAGGTGAACTTCGGCAAAACTGTCCAAGTATTCAGTATGTTAGTTCTTAACAGTGATCACCTATACTTTATATCATGGACTTGATTTCCAAGACAGAAAAATCTTTACCCACTCGCTCTCAACTGCTAAATACATGTACTGCAGAAGTGGAAATTCCCACATTTGGAAATGTTCATGTTGGGATTCTAACCTGATCATGGTATGAACATTTTTGCAATGACATTGGTTCAGAAATTTATATTCTATGTCGTCTAAGACGTCTAAAAAAATCTCAATAATTAAAAAAAAATCAAAAAAAAAATCTTTTTAGTTTCTGTTTCACCCAAAAAGTAACTACGCATTATACATGAGTGCTCACATACAATACATAATTATTTACGGTATCTAAACCTAGTTAAGAGTAGTATCATGAAATAAATAAATGTGTGTGCAGATATTTTCATGCTACCATATTACTTATAGTGTGAAAAATGTGAGCTTTTCCACAAGTGAAAAAACATTTTTATTTTAGCTGTACACAGCTGCACTACACATCTTAGTCTAAATTTTGTACAGAAATCTAAAAATATTTTTTTCATAAGTTCTCAGCTATCGAATAAAGCTCACAGTGATACATAAGATTTTCCAGAAGAAATGTGCAAATAAGATTGATGCATTTTATAACAAGCTCTTAAATGCTGAAATCTGTATATGAAGCACCTGCTATCTACACTTCCTACAATATTGAGAAAAAATAAATTCATATTAAAATTTTGCAATTTTACATTGAAAATAATCTTCCTAAAATTTACATATATATAAGTTCCAAATATTCCAGATTCTTGGGTATATTTGATGGATCTTTATTTTTAATTCTCAAGTTTCTTAGTATCATAGGGCAACCGTTGAAAAGTGGGAGGTCAATCACTTTGGATGTTTTTTGGGTACACTGCATATATACCAAAACAATGCATAATGACATCTAATGCAAGTAAAAACACTCCTATTTAGGAGAGATTCCAGAATTTAGACCCTTGAATTTAGTATTTTCAATCAGTGTAATTGCTTAATAAAATCTTCCCCTACCTTGAGGGAGTGAGAAATCTCCAATCTGAGGGGTGATATATTTGCTTGTCTAACCAGAGGCTTTGCCAAACCAATGGAATTCCGTCTTTGCGTATTGCAGAGTTATCTTCTCTTGAGAGCAGGTATTGATTGTTACGTCATTCGTTCGTGTGAGAAAATTACGTCGTTTTCTCAAAAATTGATGACGTTACTCTCACAAACAAATGACGTAACAATCAATACCTGCTCTCAAGAGAAGATAACTCTGCAATATGCAAAGACGAAAAATAATCCCCTCATCCAAGGGTTGGAGATTGCTCTTGTTTCACCCTCAATGGTAGGGGATGATTAATAGAATCTATCGCTACTGGTTGTGTAAGATAGAGAAATCTCAACCCGAGGACTAAGATGTTTTGTCCAGAACGAGGCTTGCCGAGGTCTGGACAAAAGATCTTAGTCCGACGGTTAAGATTTCTCTTTCTTACACACCCAGTAGCGATTGATTATTTTTCTCCCATATCTAACAGTATTTTAATGTGAAATAAAGGTTAACATGGACCCAAAACACATACAGGCAATTTGTTGATGGATTGTTGACATGACGTCATTGTATTGTTGAAGTGACGTCATGCCATCGTTATGAATAGGGGAATCCCCCCGTCTCAACCCTAGGGCGGAGACAGATAAATCTAGCACTGGCAAAACGGGAGATAAATCTGTCAGGTGTGGGAGAATAATTTCTCTCGTCTTATTATTTTGGTCAAAACTCAACCAACAGTAGTCATATTTGCAAACAAAAGCATGTTTGGCATATTAATGTTCGCCATTCACCGGTTTTATGACGTCACAATCATCGTTCACTTTTTATGATGTCACAATTTAGTGCTGCTATTCTGCAAAAGGTTATATCTTATCGCCACTTTATTTATAATAATAATAACTTTTATTTGAGGTTCTTATATACCGCTTTATCACAAGCTAGCTTGTAGGTCGTCTCAAAGTGGTTCACAAATTATTATCCATGGTTATAGGGCATTTGCAACCAGCCAATATCTTTCTCAACTCCCTTGGGAGCATACAGCCGGTACTGTCATTTAGGTGCTCACAGCTAGCATTATACATTTCTAGCACTGCGCATGCCCAACCACGTACTCATTTACAGCTGAGTAGACTGGAACAAGCAGATTAAAGCATCTTGCTCAAAGATACACCATAGTGCTGTGCCGTGACGAGAAATTGCAATTAACCCTTCAGTCACGAGCATGTCATCCTACCACTAGACTATATATAGCTACCGGCAGTGCCTACTCAGTAAATGCCCTAAAACAATGAACAAAGCATGTCACTTAGAATTAAAAAAAATAATAATACAGACACCTCAATACTTTTATTTATCCTCTAATAAGCCCACAGAGCAAATACATAACCTCTAGCTCAAGTAGGGAGGTCGGCTTATTACTAGACAATATCATGATGTGAATTAAGAAGTAACAATTGGACTAAGGTATTTATGGGCTTTTATCTATATATTTCTAACTTTAAAAGAGGTTCAGTTGCCAAGGAAGCAGAGTCTATCTGGGCTGCCTGGATATGCTGGATTGGCAGCTTTAGTCAAACAGACTCATACTTGCCAACTCTAGATCTTCCTATTTTGGAAGGAGATTCACGATTATGGACCCTAAAAATTGATCATCTTTTAAGATCTGATGATTTCATCTGAAAGAACAAATCAAAAGATGCCATTTAAAAGTGCTATTTTCCCCCTAGGCCAGGGTATACATACATATATTTCATTTGTGCTTTTAATTCCTAGCATGTGTATGATGCATCTCCCCCATGGAAGTTTCAAAAAGTTGACAAGTATGCAGATCAGACTGCTTATATTATTTCCACACATTACTAAGAAAAATTGTAACATTTTGGTAAAAATTTCATGCGTATAATGAAATAGAAAAAAATATTTTTGTGTTAATGCTTCTAAATTTTCTAGGCTTCCGTTTAATGCTTTTTTAATGGCCTGCACCTGTGCTTCACATTTCATGTCTCCACTATGTACATACCAATACTTGAAAATATTTTCTGGTAATCCTGTAGGCTTGAGTACCTGTACTATTAAATTTCTGTCAACCACTGTTAAGCTGCATATTACTATAAAGTATTTAATTGCATTAGCTAAATATTTTGCACTACACTTAGGGATAACTTTTTTTTCTCCTTATTCAGATTACCTTTAAACATAATTCAATCTAAAACATTATTAAGCGAATTGCCAATCAAAAATGTAATTAAGAGTTTTTCTAAAACATAATGCCAAGATCATTGAATAAAGTTATGTTATATATGATATACATTTGATAAAAGATTTTACCAATGATTTCTGGAAATTCAATAGCTAGTTTAAAAAGTAAATTATTGTTTTATATAAAATTCATAACGCGCGTGACATATTAATAACAGATAAATAACACGTGAGTTAAATGACGTAGAAGAATCAGATATCTACAAACTTGTAAACAATCTCTGTATTCCATGTTTGCATATTGATCAACCTGCACGGCACGCAAACATCAGGACATTATCCTGTGATGGGAATGCCCTTAGAATTTGGAAAACTGTGTGCATATGCACTGAGTTTGTATCATTAGTTACCTGTGTGCATATGTGCAGATATGGTCAAGAAACCAGACGATCAGCATCTAAATTGATTGACCTGCATCTAAACAAAATTTGAAGGGAAGGTGCGATTTTCCGTCGTTCTTCTCGGAAACTGGTTCTGCTTAAATCAAAGAAAAAGTCCGATATCACCCGAAAGGTCAATTAAATCTCGTTATGGAGATATCACTATTAATTAATTCTAATGCTGAATATTATAAGTATGAAATCTGCATCTAAGCTTAAATGTTGATATAATGTTTTCAACATAATTACAATTATCTATCTTGTTTACAAAAAATATAAAGAATGTACGAAGCTATGCTTCCGGTGACCTAGTTTTCGGTTCAGTGTCAGACGGCAAGAAGCATGTCCTTCGACAAGGTAGGTTGAGCAGGTGCCCGTCGTGTGGGGGTTTGTCGTTCTGGTTGTGTCAAGATTCGACATACCGGAATCAGTATGATTTTGTGCAAAAATCACAAACTACCAAACAATTATAGAACGGTTTTTATGGGCTGGCATATAATAGGCCTAGATGACCGGTAGGACCACGTCGAATTTGACCTTCACCCTCAAAATAAACAAAACATGTTTTGAAGTCATTTGCTTGTCAAAACATCTTTTTACTGGTATTTACAACTCATGTTGTTGGAGTCGTGATACAGGATCGACTTTTTATCCATTCGTTTCATGTCACACAACTGAAACCTGTTCTCAGACGCAGTTGATGGCACGGGGTGGAGGTGTGTCTTATAATACGAATCTGATTGGACGATACGTAAATCGGCACGTAGACACCTAACGCAGCAAACAGTTTGAGTTACATGTTCCCTGATCAATCCGCAGACAATCAGTTAGTTGTTTCGGACAGTTAACAAAGTTAATTGAAAAGGAAACATCTCAAACATACTCGTAGTTACAAGCGTTTAAATATGTTAATTAGGACCAATAAATATATGTGATATATTATCGCACCTCCTTATAGTAACTTATACTAATAAATCATATGATTATGCAGTGGCATGTAGGAGATGTCTTCTTGTTCCTGATGATGCATACTTGCAACAGGTGTTGTATCAATTCAGGAATTTTCCAACATCAATAAGAAATTTTAAAATTAAAACAAAAATGCTTAATAAATTTTTGAAAAGTCAACTCTTTTTGAATTAGATTAGTTATCAGATTGGGGGGCGTCTAATTACCCAATACTACCCAATACCACCCAATACCACCCAATACTACCCCATACGATCCAGTTATGAACCAAATACTTCTTTATTACTGTTAAATATATCACCTTTGTAGACGTTATTTACTTCCATATGCCATATTTTATCGGGAAATATGCGATTTGGTGCCGAAAACATCACCGAATTGCCGTGACTATGACCCAATACTACCCAATACCACCCAATACTACCCAATGCTACCCCATACGACCCAATTATGAACCAAATACTTCTTTATTACTGTGAAATATCACCTTTGTAGACGTTATTTACTTCCATCTGCCATATTTTATCGGGAAATATGCGATTTGGTGCCGAAAACATC